CATTTTGAACTCAGAATCACTTGATAACATAACGGCACTAGCCCGTTTTATTGGATCTGAGTTTGTCATTTCATTAACGGTCTCTCATTCCTGTTGGAGTGATGAATGGATATCTCAAATTATATTGCTACTCGATTACTATCGATTTACGCGACTACGTTCGCTGACTTTTCACGAAATCCAAGATAGAGCTCTGGAGCGTATCTTACAAAATATGAATACCAACTCTCTGATCTCCCTTTCAATAGAATCAAGCGAAGGCCCGATAAGCAGAGCATGGACTTTGATCTCGTCAGTACTCAGCCGATGGAATCTTCAAAAACTATGTCTCAGTAATGTGCCTTATACGGCAAATGTAGTGTGGCCAGATTCGTGCATTTTAGAGCATTTGACAGTCGCCAGGTGCAACTACATCGACTATTTGACCATCCTTCGTCTGTTACCTAATTTACGAACTCTAGTTATGCAAGACTACACTATACTTGATATGGGTAATATGCTGATTTCATCTACTACATCTATATTACATCATTCACTGAAGTCCTTGATTATCACTACCAGTTCAATTCAGAAGAAAGACTTCGAATTGTTACTTCCACCAATATTTTCACTTCGCCATTTGAAACTTGTTTGTCAAGAGCAAACATTTTACTCTACATTCGATGCCTCATATTGGAAACCACTCATATGTAGTAAATTACCCAAACTAGATAAACTTGAATTCTTCTTCTCTTATGAATATTACGAAAACTATGATTTCATCAGTCTCGAATCATTTGTTGTTCCATTTCGAACTCGATTTTGGGTTCATACCAAGAGATGGTTTGTAACCTGTGCATACGTCCCACGATTACGTGAGATCTGGTTCTATACAACACCAATCAATAGTATTCACAGAAACTCATTAGTCAGATGTGAAATCTCGTGGATGGACAAAACATGCCGCTTGACTCAACGATCATTAGACACAACAGTTGACAACACTTCAGATGAGGTATGTAACGATTTCTGTTTGAAATCAGAATTGATCATTGTATCAGAGCTATACATCTACGGACTTTCTCGAGTATGAGCCCGATTACAGCGCAAATTGCACTCAAGAACGAAAATTTCCAATACAACTACCTCATAACATATGTTCAACACCATGAGAGCATAAATGTCGAATATAAATGGTTGTAATTTTGTATAAGACCCAGGATGAAAGAAACTAGCTATCTGCTTAATTTTCCAAGGAAATAAGTAGGTGCTTGGTACCACTTGAGTATAACATACTTTTTATCTAGAGGATGAAAACGAGTAAAACTGCTTTTGTATTGAAAAAATCCCGTGGCTACATCTAATAACATTGCAATGGTTTATTTCACAACATATCTTTATCATGTTTTCGGTCCATACCAGTACTCCTCGACGAGGCCAACAAAAACTTGGCAATCCTTCAACGATGTACAAGTGTGACTTGAAAGCTTTATCGCGAAATGTTGCGAAATAAACCGTTGACATGTTATCAGGAATCATTACTGAATCGATTTCAAGCCAAAAAGAGCTGGATTATTTTGGGGACAGAAAAACGGCCTTATCTGTCCTCATCTCTTCGAGTGCTTGATACTCGACTACGACTCTTTCGAATATTTTGCCTAGCTTTGCATTGCACCGTGTTCTATCATAGACTTTGCCTAACTTCGCTTCTGAGGTTCTGCAGAATCTCTTCAAGAATTGCAAAGGATCTTGACGAACCCTGTTTGATAAATGATTGAAATTCTAGTTACTGCTCAGACATAAGTTCTCAGAAGAGCTTTTCTAGGCTACCCTGGATTGATTTCTACTTCTAATAGACTACAAAATTGATTCTGGTCTTCGTTAAATCCTTTCGAAAAATTCTTCGTAACCCATGAACTTTTCACAGATACACATATTGAACAGCAGTTGTAGGCATCTTCAATTTTTTTCCTAATCGAGCCCCATGGGAAACTTACCGCGATTCTCCTGGATTACTTTTGATTTCAACGTCGTAGGGTAGTATTTCATGGTTCCGACTAATTCCTACTTCTAATTTTCCCTGAATATTCTTCTTCACTTCTCATAGGATTTTCAACAAGTCCTGGACTATTTGAGGATGAGAATGAGGGTGGGTGGATGGATAGATGAAGAGACGGACTTCGTCTTCCTCTAACCGTCTAGCGTTTCATGCAATTTGTTTATGGATGAGTCTACAAGAAACAATGGGTAGATCCTTCTTCGAAATTCTGTCAGTTCTAAACTGACAAACATCACGTAGAATCTCTCATAAAAGAGCAAATTGAACCTACAATAAAGACAAAACTGAAATTAATCAAAAAACTACTTGGACACCTACAGCTTTTCTATGTAATTCAAAAGAGCTTTGGGATCAAAGAAGAGATTTTGTCTCGACCTTATATTACACCCTTCCAAAGTTCAAATTATGTTCTACCTTATATAGAAAAAACAAAGATTTCTATTCAAACTTCACAGTTCTCTTTTTTTCCCCAAAACAGTTAGGTTGTCGCATAACAAAAGCAACACATTCTGAAGTAGAAACGGAGTTGAGAGAAGACAGAACAGGAAATGCAATAAAAACAATTGAAGACGTATTCATGTATCTGCACATTAACTGTCACCAATAGACTATTTCTAGTAAACAAGCTCAATCCGAAGACGACTGATATGTGCTGTGATTGGAAGATGCTGAAAAAGTTCTATCACCAGCTATTTGAACAAGAACGTTCCAAAACTGAAAGACTTTTCAATAACTAATGATTGAAGCTGATCTACGCACAACTCCATGCAGCATAACGTCAAGAAAGGGATTCGAATACATTTCTCTAATCAAGACAGTAATTGCCAAACGAAAAATCGACAACATTTCGAAAAAGGACTGTTCCGTTGAGTCAACATTTTGAAAAAGACTCTTCATTGTCAAGTCTTGAGAATTAATACTATATATATATAACATACGTAAACTGATCGTATCGCATATGATACAAAGAAAACAAGAAATGAAAATTTGTTCATGAAGATAAATGGAACTATCAACCACCAAATAAACTCATAATAACGAATTTTGTTTGTATATAGACTTTGTTTTTTTTCGAAAATAGAGCAAAAAGAGGATTTTTCTCAAAAAACAGACCGCAAAGATGATTCACAGATAAAAAGAGGAAAATGAGGAGCGAGAGGTCAATCCATGGCATATATGTTAAGTCACCGGGAGTCACAAGTGAACTCTTGTATTTAAAGCGAAAATTCGCTTGAAAATGTGTATTGCCTCTGAAAAAGATCATGCTGAATGCATAATTCTGAACTGAATCCCTGATAGAAGAGTACAAGCTTCATCAATCAAAACTCAGGATGACAGTCAGTACTCAATACATTGGATGAAATCGAGCTTCTTTCTTGTTCATGCCTTTTCATACTTTGCTAGTCAATCTTTCATTCCATATTGCGGGTATAAAAGGCGTGAAATAGACCTTTTGCGTCGGAAAAGATTTCACCTGGTCCAAACTAAACCAACTGCGGTCAAATTTTTGCTAATTCCGGACTTAAAAACATAATTTCTTTCTATATAATAGAACTATAAAATTGCTTAATTACAAATATAAACTTTTCTTTTATCCGTAGTTCCCACTATCCTTCATTATCCTAGTATTTTTTACTCAATCTTATTGATTCTCGATCTAGCACGTCTTGAACACACTATTATTTTCCATATGCCAATGAGGGTGTTAAAAGCTGTTTTGTCGTTCTCTTTTCAGGTCTCTCATCTCTCCATTTGCACTTTTTCACACAGACACTCACCACACTAGGTCTTCAAAGCAATCAAATTGGAGATACAGGAGCACAATATCTAGCTGATGCATTACGAAATAACACGGTGACTCTCGTTCTCTTTTCATCTTTCTCACATTCCTATCTACACTTTTTCACAGACACTCACCACACTAGATCTCAGAGGCAATCAAATCGGAGATCCAGGAGTACAACATCTAGCTGATGCATTACGCAGCAACACGGTGACCCTCATTGTGTTTTCATCTCTCTCACATCCCTATCTACACTTTTTTACACAGACTCTCATCACACTGAACCTCGGATACAATCGAATCGGAGATCCAGGAGCAGAACATCTAGCTGATGCATTAGGAAACAATACGGTGACCCTCATTGTCTTTTCATCTCTTGCACTTCCATATGAACACTTTTTCACACAGACACTCACCACACTAGATCTCAGAATCGATAAAATCGAAGATCCAGGAGCACAACATCTAGCTGATGCATTACGAAATAACACGGTGATCATCACACTCTTTCTTCATCTTTGTAAGATCTCCAGCTGTACTTTTTCATACAGGCACTCACTACACTAAATCTCTGGGGCAATTATGTCGGGCACCATTACAATTCGTCGCGAACAATTCGTCGCATGATCAATTCGTCGCACGACAATTTGTTGTATCTCTGTTAATTAAACTTTTGTTTGTGTAACTCGTTGAAATAAAGCATAATACGAAAGTTAATGATTTTAATTGGGAAAACGGATCAATAAAAAAATGTTAACGAAGTATAGTCATAATAGAGTAAATGTGAATGCAGAATAATTAGATTTGTCAGACAACGAATAAACTTCTACATAATCTAGACCAACGATAACTCTGATCCAATATTCTTAATTATGTGATCGAAAGAAAAAAATATAAGTTGATGATGTTGAAAAAATATCTCATTTCTCAATCTCAAAATTTACTGCGCACAATAATTCTAAAAAATGTCTCAAATGCAAAAGCTTATCACTGAAAAAGGAAAAACAATGCTTCTTCATGAAAGTTATATCTACACTGTAGAACGTACCACAACAACGAAATGAATTTTTCGATGTCAAAATCGTGATTGCAAAGGTAAGTTCCCTTTGAACATTATCGATTAATTAATTCACACAAGAATGATCTATCAATTAAGCACGTTGCCACACCAATTTATCCATGGACGCATTTCTTTCCCAACCAACATCACATTCTCATGCTACACAACCTGATCGTATTCCGGCTATTCAATTAAAGAACGAAATTAAAGCTCGTGCTGCGACGACAGATGAATATTCCAGCTCAATTCTTCATTCGGTCTTACGAACACATCCTCTAAGTGCTGCTGGTGGACTTCCAAAAAATGACACACTTATGCTCACAATCCGACGACAACGAACTGTTGAAACAGTCGATGCTGATGGTCGTTTACCAGCAAATTTAAGAAAGACATATCGCGGTGAAGATTTCATCTGACACGAAGACGAGCGTTTAATTATCTTCACAACAAAAACTAATTTATCAATTCTGAAACAAAACAAACATTGGTTCGCTGACGGAACATTTAAGGTGAGCTATTAATTAAATGTCTATCTCTTTTTTCTAATTATCTTTGATGAAGGTATGTCCGGATGATTATTATCAACTTTTTACATTACACGCAATGATGACGAATGTAATTATTCCTCTCGTCTATGGATTGTTAATTGGTAAGAGTAACGATGATTACAATCAATTTTTGAAAAATTATTCGAACAAGAAAATTTTCAACCTGAATCGATTATGACTGATTACGAAGGCGGCACAATCAAATCAGTCAAAGAGATGTTACCTAACGTTCTGCACAAGGGTATGTTATAGTCTATTCACAGAAAAAAAAATAATTAAAACGTTTGTTATAGGATGTCTCTTTCATTTTTCACAAGCGGTATGGCGACAAGTTGAAAGCAAAAGATTGGCCACAAAATATAGAGCAGATGAGTCCTTTCGTTTAAAAGTAAAAAAGTTGATTGCTCTTGCTTTTCTTCCAGTAGATGACATCACAACTGAATTTGACTTAATTGTCGATGAAGAGGCCGACGATCTACTTGAATATTTCGAAAAAACTTCGATTGGTGAACCAAAAAGAAGAGGTAATTTTTGTTTTTGTTTCTTAAAAGAATTGAAATGCATTTGGCATTCATAGGAACTGGTCGAAAGAAGCCTCTTTTTGATCACAAATTATGGAATATTCATGATCGAGTTGCCGCTGCTGTACCTCGTTCAAACAATTCGATGGAAGGCTGGCACAATGCATTTGCCAATCGTGTCTCAATTAGTCATCCAACGGTTATCAAGTTAACAGAGAAAATTCGTCGTGAACAATCCAAATTCGAAGGTGATATAGCGAAGATTCTTCAAGGTCATGATATCAAGACGAAGAAAGCATGTAATCGAAGATTGTACGAACGTGTTTCTCGACTGGTCAATGCTTACGATTCATCTCAACTGGATCAATTCTTAACAAATGTGGCAGCAAATGTTACTCTGTAGGTAAGTTTTTTTCTTTAATTAAGTTTTTTTTCTGTTTAGATTATTGGTTCGCTTAAGATTATTCGTTCATTTGTGTTTTTCTTTTTCTTTTTTATTGTTCTTAATTTGTTCATCCTTATGTTATGTATATACCACGCTAAATAAAGATGAATTGATTGGTCAATTTCACGTTTCTGAAAAAAAGAATTAATGAAGAGGAAGGGATAGATTAGATAAGGCTGAACAGAATGAAAGAAATTTCTCTGCGACGAACAGAACGCGACGAATTGTACGGTCACCGTGAATGTGTACCTCGTGGCAGTCAAACTCATCCTCGCCCAATAGGTAGTGCAACATTTGTTTGTGAATGCCTGCCTAATAATCAACTGTTCAAAACCTCAGGTGAATCTTATGTAAGTTTTGATTTGTATAACCATTACACATTGCTCCAATAGTAGACTGACCTAATAAATAATCGTTCTTTTTAGATCAATAAACCAAAAACTCAACAACATCTATTCTACACATTGCCATGTATTTTCAATGAATTCCCCGAATTATGTCCTCTGGATAGATATATCAATGATTTACAATCGTTTACGTTCTTGTCACCTGACAAAATTGTTTATTCACGTCTTGTTAAATTGACTATGTCACACAATCTTCCATCGTCTATTCCTTTCTTCTCTCATATTGTGTCTTCGAATCAAATCACTGAACTCCATCTATTACGATGCGACAGAGAAATATCTGTAAATCTACCCAGTGTCACTCATCCTATTCTTATAGACAGTCTTGNCAAACAACCGCTCACACTGATGACCAGGATTACTGGTGAAACGCCCATTTCGCATGTACTAAAGCTAGATTCGGTTTACACTTATAACTCATTCAAAACATCTCAGATTTGGCATCAAAATGATCGTGAGTTCATGCTCTTTCATTCTATATATGATTTAATTAGGTTTGCTCATAATAATCAAAGGGGCCAAAATGTTGTCTTATGCGCCCCCGTCCTTTATCAATTTTCTTTCTTTCTTCTCTTGTTGTTTTATCATCGAATCTCAAATAAGAAATAATTTTTTCAAAACGATCTCTTGACATGGTGGCTTTGAATATTGGAGATTCCAACGGACTTCTTCCCCATAAGGACTTAAGATTTTTCTTTGATTTTCCTAATAAACCAGCAATCAATAAAGGTCCAATAAAAGCTTTTAATTCCATCATTGTTATTTCTTCTGATTTCTCGTTAGAAACTGCATGTCGAGAACGTTTCATGTTTGAGTAAATCAAAATTTTTTGCATAATTTTTTCCGACATAAAACAGATAAAAGCGTTTTCAATAGATGATATATTTTCAACAAGTTTGGTAGGTCCAGCTTTCTCATTTGTATCAGTTGAAGCATTTGTTTTTGTTGAAGAGTAAGGAATTGAAGACCAAGTCATCTGAGATTTGGAACTATATAAACTTCTATGAGTAGAGTTGTCGTCCAATTTAAGATTTTCTAAATCGATTTCATCGTCTTCTTCTTATGTTTGACTTTCAGCATTTTCTGTTTCAGAACCACTTTGTTGGTCGTAAAAGTCTTCATCATCACTTTCATCTTCAATCCAACTGTTCATAATTGTTTTTATAATATTCTGAACAATTTATTCAGATTGTATAAGAAAAAGAAGCTTTAATCTATAAATGAAACGTAAATAAAGACGCACTAGATAAAGTAGTGCCAGCTAAAGAACTAAATAAGTATATAAAGTTGAATAAGAAAAAAATTACTGATAAATATGTGCTTAGAAAGAGAGTTAAGTCACATTTTTAATCCACAACTCGATGAATCATCTACCATCCTAATTGGATAACTGGAAACCAACCTAAAAGTAGCTTTTATGGGGTTAATATATGTAATGCATTGAGTAACAAAGGTTTTTACCATTTATTTGTAGAAAATAAACTTCATTCATTCAATATGAAATCTTTATTAAATAATAACAATGATGTTAATGATGATATGATAACTTTTATTAAAGAATGTTTTAATGATTTGAAAATACATGACAAATTAACAGAACACGATATTCAAAATGTATTTAATAAATCAATGACTGATCTATTTAATAAATATAATGATTTAACAATATTGAAATATGTACCCACATCTACTAGAAAACATTTAGATGGACTATCTCCTGATTGTTGTTTTAAATACAAAAATATAAATATCGATACAAAAAACAGAATTTGAATCTTTACAAGATTTTATTGTTTTTATAGGAGAATTCAAATCACCAACACAACCTATTGAGTCAAAAGAATGTCTTGGACAATTCTCACGTTATTTGAAACTAATATTAGGTGTACAAAATCGTAAAAAAGTATATAGTTTTATAACAAATATTGAATATATAAAATTTTATTATGCTGTAAAAGACTCAAATTCGATTACTTTTTATCAAAGTGAAAAGCTACAAATGATGCATAATTTACCTAATGAATCATCATCATCATCTAATAATAAAAGAAAAAAATGTATTCAACCAACAGAAAAATGTTTTAATGAAGAAACATTAAAAATATTTCTAAAACTTTTAACAATGAAAAGCGATTTTTATGAATATACAATGTTAAACATAAATCCTAATGATTATTTATATGGTGATAGATATAATATAAAATTAAGATATGGAAACGGTTTAACTTCAATAGTTTATGCATTAACAAAAAATGAAAATACTCAATTTAAAGATGATAAACATGGTTATATAATAAAAATTTGTAAAGAAGATTCATATTTAGAATATTTTATAAATGAAATTAAAATATTACAAAATTTAAAAAAATTAGATTCAAATAAATTTAATTCATTTTTTGTAAATATTTGGAATTCATCATCTACTGGTAATATTTATTTATTAAAGAATATTTTCTTTTTTGTTTTTTGATGATTTTATATATTAGGTTAGATAAAACAAATAATTTAAATTTTTTTTTTAAGACTCACTATAAATTAATTTCATATTAAACATATTTATATTTATTTGAGAATAATTAAAATAATATTTTATCGTATTCATTATTTGTTTTTTCTTTTTAAGGTAAGTTTATTATATTTGAAAGTTCTTTAACAAAATTGGAATCATTAACATTAAGTCAGTCAAAAGAACTTATTGATATAGTTAAATATTTATATGATTGTTGTGCCGATATTGATGGCACGCTTCGATGATTCTCCTTCCTTCTCTTTCTGTTCTCTTTCCATTGTTCTAATATCTCTCTCCTATATATACGTGTGTTATGTATGAAGTCGTTACACTCTGGATATGTGAAGAAGCTAATAAACATCATTGCCGAGAGTGGCGGTAAGCTACTCCACCTCTATCCAGTTTGTCATTACATCTCTCGACCATAACAGGTCTATTTGTCGTTACAATTGTGGTATTATTCATCGTGATTTACGTCCACAAAATTTAATGAAGGATACATATGAAAATTTAAAATTAATTGATTTTGGTTTTGCAAAAAGTTATGAAAAGAATGAAATAACAAAAAGATTACCTATTCAAGGTACAATTTCATATGGTGGTTTAAAATTTTTAAAGTATTATTTACAATTTCCATTTAATGCATTACCACCTGTGCCATATGAGTATGAATATGAACGTACATTTGATTTACAATGTGCATTAAATATAATTATGTTTATGACAAATAAGGAAATAAAAAGTCAAATGATTTCATTTAAAAGGTTTCAATATCTTCAAGAAATAGCATCAAAATCATATCAATTATGGTTGAATTTTAGAAAAAATAATGGAAATTATTCTTATATATTAACTTTAATTGACAATGTAACAAAATCTGATGATTTTGATACTATAAAAGATGAAATAGGAAAATTTCCAATATGCAACAATCAAAATACAATGTTATAATGATATTTATGTTTATGTTATTAATAAAATAACTTACTGATTATTTACTAAATGTTTATTTTTCGTTATATTTTCTTTGTTTGTTCTTGTTGTACTTAAAAAATAAAATAAATATTATTCATAAAAATATATAGAAGTAATCCCTTAAAGATTATTATGATGTTTATTATTTAATTTTGTTTAAAACAAAACAAATCATAATAATTTGTTTATCTATTCATATGATGTTCTATTCTTTTAACAAAAGTAACAGAATTAACATATTCAATATATTAAAATTGAGATAAAAAAAAATAATAAACTTATCGAAATGAATCTATTTTGAAAGATACAAATACATTTTATTATTATATTCAATATATTTAGAATTATTTTTCATATATTTATATTTCATTTTACTTTGTTTAGGAAAATTCGACACATAAAAAATCAACTTACTATCCGTTGTTATGGTTGTTGATGTACCATTAGTAGTAAGTGATACTCGAGGACGTAAATTTAATCATAAATGATATTTCAATAATCATATTTAATGTTACCTTGTATTGTTGACATTAACTCAGTTCGTTGTTCAATAGTTGAATTTTTCGAGATATTCGATTGTAATGACAAATGAAACTCTTTTATCGATGATTGAATCATTTGTTCTGATTGTTCTCATTTTTTGTTAATTACTGCAATATGTTTAGATAACAATTGAATAACTGTATGATTAGATTTCATTAATTTTTTTTTTGTTTCGATAGATTTGCTAATATGATTGCATTTGATTGTATTAAATCGTTGATGGATGTTAGAAGATATGCTATCTGTTGTCGTCCTAAATTAAGAGAAACAAAATAGTATGATGTTGACAATTTAATACATAGAATGACTGAAAAATTGCTCTACAAAGAATAGCTTCAATAGATATATCAACCATATATTGATTAAACGGGTCAATATTTTTATTACTGATAAAGGAATTTAGGTAACTCATATTCAAGAAAGAAACATTATCAAATATTGTTTTAAGTTTAAACTTGAAAAGTACACTGAGTAATGAGACATGTATCCGCTTAAGCAAAAGATATTAATAGGAAGAAATTCTCATAAAAAAGTCGGTATCATTTATTCTTGACTATGAGAATGAATACAATCCTTTTTTTTATAAGTTGGATTAGATTATAATTTATTATTATACATGTTTGTACTATTTTGAAAAAAGTTTCTGATAATGATTCTTTCATAAATATCAGCTATGTTTACTCATTTATCAATGGTAAAAATATTAACCTGTTTAGCCAAAATTTGTTAGGGATATGTACTTAAGCAATTTTTTGTAGAGTTATTTTCTAGAGATCCTATCCCTAGTCGACTCTTCCTCACGGAATCCTTCAGGGATTCCCCACAAGGATGTGCATGGGTGGCTGAGAACGTAAGTAACGAATGATTTACACATACACCTACATCCTACATCCCACACCCACACCGCTTAACATTTTCACATTTTTAAAAACTCTTCTTTAAGTAACACCAATATTTATAAAAGCTTATATAATCAAAGGCAAATGTTTAATTCATTTAAAAGAATTTGATCAAGCTAAAGAACAATTTATTCAAGCTGAAGAATTAGCAATAAAACATTTTGAATCAAAAAATATTCGTCGAATGATAGAAGGCTCGTGAATGGAATAATATATTTGGATAGATGTTCATTTTGTTGTTTTTTTTTGTTTTAATTTTTAGATTGTATCCAAGAAATTGAACGACAACGTGAAAGACATGAAGGAGAAGAATAAGCACGAACATTTTTATTAAATGAAGATCTATCCATGCCAATAAATTTAATAAATACATTAAAAAAAATAAAATCTTGATCAACAATCAATTATTTATTATATTAGTGGAATTGATCTTCTATGTCAATTAATTAAAGATAGTTCGAATATAAATGAAATTCATTGTTTCTCTCTTGGAAAATTTTTTTTTTTTTTTTTTTTAGAAACAATTCGAACAACATTTCGTGTTAATAATGGTTTTGATTTATTTAATTCTCATTCGATTATAATACAAAATAAGAATGAAAATTTATCAGAATCAATTTTTAATATAATGATAATTCTTTGTCAAAATGATGGTACGACAAAAAAAGAACATAACCAATTTATAGTTTTATTTGATTAAAAATATGTTTTGCTTTTGTTTTAGATGAAAATACAAAACAATGTTTAGAAAGTAAATTTTTTTAATAGTTATTTAAATAAAAAGATTTATTCAACAAAATCACTGCAATTTCTTGTTGAAATTTCATTAAAAAATCAATCATAATTCATTTTTATGCAAAAAATTATACCAAATAATTTCATTCAATATTTAATGAATATAATTAAAGATATAAAATGTAGTCGAATATATGCTGCAAAATTATTTAGTAATTTAACTATTGAATCAAAGTGATACTTTGAAATAGATTATTTATTTAAAAATTTTATTTGAAAATTTTTCTCCTTTTTTTTAAAGATTACACAATATTTTAATAATAAAGATGAATTGATAAAATTAATTGCAATTCTAGTAAGAAATTAATGAAAAGAGTGTTAGTGAAGAGACAACTGTCCAACTCATACTCTTACATAGATAAGTTTTTCATATGACAATTTTTTTTTGTTTTTTATACGTAGAAATCATCGTCAATTGATGAAGAAACTCAAACAGTCATATTATCTTTATTAACAAATCTTTATTTAAAAAAAACATATTCGAGTTTGTGCTGTTAATGAAACAGAACTTTTCCAAATATTAATTGAAGATTTGAGACATTAAGACAATGAACATGAACTAAATTTATTAGGATTATTGATTAATCTAACAAATGAATCAAGTTCAACTCTTGAAATATTATATAAAAATGTTAGAAAAAAAAGTTTTTTTTTTTCTTGATAGATGAAAAGTATTTTTTTTATTCTTTTTAGTTATGTGAAAGAATTCTAACTAAATTAAAGAAGTCTTTATATGATCAACATATATATTTACATTATTAGGAAATATTGCTATGCATTATGAACAAACTATTCATATTCTTATTGAATATAAAATCATTTCTTCGATTAGTTAAGCATTACAACAGGTTTAATTATTAATAAAATAGTATATCCAATATATTCTATATATTTAGGATAATATCGATAAAGAAAAGATTTAAGCTGCTGTTAGACTTTTAGCATTATGTACAAAATCAAATGTACAAGGACAACAAACTGTTGCTAATGATACTAAATGTAAGATCTTTCAATTAAAACATATAGTTGTCTATGATCAAGAAATATTCTTGTAATTTGTTTTTTTTTATAGTTTTATCTATTGTTTATGAGCAATTGATAAAAAGTCGAAATTCATTACTTATTGAAAATGGTTCATTAGTATTTGGAGATATTATTATTCATTCAGCAGCACGAACATTTCTACACAATAATCCAGGAATAGATAAAACTATTGGTCAAAGGTTAAAATTACTTGAAGAATCATGGTTAAGTAAAACAGCAAGAAAAAATGTAGCCATTTTTATTACTAAAATGTTCAAAACTGATGAAAGGTAATATTTTTCAAATATAAAATTGAATAGTTATTTACAGTTTAATCTAATTTTATTTTCTAATGTTTAGTTTTTTACAAGAATATCGAAAAGAACATGGTACTGAAATTCTTCATTCAGCTGTTAAAGATGTTGAATTGTAATTGAAATTTGTTTTTAATAAAAAGAATAAACATTGTTTCCATTTATAATTATATTCATTTCATATTCTTCAAGAAAATTTTTCAATAGTGTACATAAACTTTTATTTCCAGAAATAGAAATTATGTACCTTCTTATTTTGTAAAAGCTTATACTTTTAAGATCTCTTTAATCTAATAACCATAAAAGTGTCATTATTGTAAGAACAGATATAAAAACAAAATCGAATAATGAAATTTTGTTCGTATGATGATCTCATGGTTCTTAGTATATATTAAAAGTTTCAGCGAAAACCGATATTTCATTCTCAAGATGATGAATATCTATAAATAACTTGATTTTTCGATAATATATATGAAATGCAAATATTTCTGATAAATTCATTATCTCGAGAGACTGCTAGTATATATTAAGGACCATGAGACCTATGTAAGTATCATGCTATAGGTTGAATAATCATTATAATAACCTCAATATATGAACAAAATATTATTAAAAGTGGTATGGATTAGTTGGAGAATCTTCCTTTCATAAGTAAATGTAACATCACATACTTCTAACTTTATATAAATCATTTTCTGTTTGTTTATTTTAATTTTAAAATAACAAAAACAATTATTTATTTCTTTTATTTTCTACTATTATCATCTGATGACCATTGATTAATCCAATTTAATAAATTTTAAATATTTTTTTAAAATCATCTTCAGTTTCATTTATTATTTCATGAACAATATTTTCATCAAATGATTCTTGAGCTTCATCGAGACATACTCGTCAGATTTCTGAAATTCACAGATCACGAGAAATCGTACACTATCTAAATCGATTCTAATTTGACAAGATTCAAAGATTTGAGTTTCAGAATTGCTCATATATTGTAGAGGCTAGCCTCTAATAGTGTCTCGATGTACGAGAATACTGAAATTATAGAATTCTGAAGTTAATTCATTACAAAATTACATGAAAAGACGTCATTTTACGAAAAAGTTTCGCATAATTAATGGTGTACGTTAGTTTCGCAGTTCTCTGGAGTTGACAATTAATATAAGTATCAAGGCTTGAAAAGAATGAAAACCAAGTTATATGCTTATTTTGTTATTGATGAGATATTTTTTTCAAGTGGTCTTTTCGAATAAGTACTATTATGGTTACTCAGTACTTTTGTAATGCGTCAGATTTATGATAGAAAAGAGTACTATGAAAAACAAAAGTGATTAAACCCGGTGTGAAGTAAGTTGTATTTAAATTGATTAAGTTTCTGTGATGCTCTCATTTACTGATAGGTACATTTATGAAACGTTACCTTCTTTGAGACTTTTAATAATAGTTTCAAAACCGCCAATGAGACACATACTGCCAAACATGTGAACTAGATTTTATCCATCGATAAACTTTTTTCGACTCCATGTGGAAAAATTTCGAATAGATATTTCCTAAAGGACCCGTGGATGATTAAGCAGTTTACGAAGACGATATAGGGTGGTCCCAAGTTTAGCAAGTTTAAGCGAGCTGTTGCTGGTATTCCCTAAGATTCAAATAGTTACATTGTTGCGAAATAATTGAAAAGATTGGACGATTGGTTTTGATACATAAAATGGTATAGCGAAGGTCTCGTTGATCTTAATTGTAACCCGTCCCTCAATAAGGATCGGAAGAATTGTTTTTTTTTTTTGAAATGTTTCAGAAAGATATTTTGAAATAAACCAGTTGCTCCATTCAAGGTCACAGTTTAAATATATCTATGTTTCATATTTGGAACTTGTTGACTATGAATTTGATGGGTGAGCGTCGTTAAAGATAAACGTGTGGAAAGAATCACAAGGTTAACGAGTGAGAACATCGTTGAAAATCACTCAGGTATGTCAATAAGAAACAGTCAGAAATTTGTTACTACTGCAACATTGTTTCATCTATCAGAGTAAGGCGTTTTATCTTTTCTCGTACAACAATGATGTGCAAATAAAACATATGTAACAAGATATGATGACAAAGAAGACAGCTTATGTCTTATCGTCTACGTTATCTATCTAAATTTAAGATGATGGCTGTAAGAAGATAAATATGAATAGAAATCGAGTCTATGATAACTATGAATTTCCAAATGATTCCAGTCTAGTTGCACTGAAATCTAGAATTCTATTCACTCATGTTTGTTCTAGTAAAATGTTTATCTGATACACGATTTATCTGCAGGACATTGAAGGACAGTTGAACAATCTTCAGGGCGCGAATGGATGTTTATTACTTTTCTGTAGTCATTCACCCATATACACAACCTAAATATATTCAAGAACTAGACAATATTTTAACAAAATACTACGTAGAAGAAAGCAAGGTTTCAATTGATTTTGAATATACTATTCTTCAATAGCTAACAGTTGCATAGATTTTTAACTTTCACTTAATAGTTGAAATTCTTAAGTATAATAAGACTTATGTCTATTAAATACCGAAAATATAGTATTTCGTAATTCTACTAACAAAACATATTTAACAATAATATTTTTAACGTTCTAGTTCAGTTTTATTCTTTCCTTTGTCATGATTACATCAATCTAATATTTCAGTATGAAAAAAAACATCCTACATTTTCGATGATGTATCATAAAAGAATATTCTTCCACAAATTTTACATCAAAGAATACAAATAAAGCGATTGACACATTAGAATATCCAAAGTCTTCTAATATGTCCGTTAGAAAAATGATTTTTTCGCTATTCTGAATAATAGTTTTTCATAAACATTTTTTTAATGAACATTAGTTTAAGGATAAAATTAATGCATCCAAAAATATTTTTATTTCATATAATCAAGTAGAAGAAGAAGAAGAAGAAGAAGAAATTCAAAGTTTTAGAAATTTTCACGTGTCTCTCAAAGTCTATTATAACAAAGGTTATTATTTGCAGCATGTTATATGTATGCAGTACTCCTAATTTGTCGTCTATTGACTTTCAATTCATCTGACTTCAAAGAATCATCATAGAGAATGCAACTAAGATTAAGAACGAAAACAGGATAAATAGGAGATAATAAAGCACATTATATGTTTTTCTTCAATTTTCTAGCATCAGACAAATGAAAATTTCAAAGATTAGCTGAAATCTCATCTTTGTTCATGACATAAATATAGGAAGACCTCTCTCAATCTCGTCTAAATAACAAAAATTATTATGATTTAAAATTGACTTTACTCTCATAATTGTAATATAATTCATGTTCCATTTCTTACTCGAAACTTTTTCAATACCTTTTAACCTTCTTCGATCAATATTTGCAATACCAACGAGGTGATCGTATTTTCGCATGATGAACTATATAAATCCACTCTATTTTTTCAGAAGTACGAAATAAAAAACTCCTTCTAAATCTAAACAAACTATTCTTCAAAAAAAAGTTGTTTATTTATGTTGCTGTTACTTATCAACTAAATTAGCTTCTATTGAAACCTAATATTAGTACATTATCTTAATCTATAATGCATTTTGATCCTTTTTTTTTGTTGGAATAAATATTGCTGCCCAGAACAATCAATATCATCACGACAACAAGAAAAAATGCGACAAATCTAATCAATATGAAACAACCAGTCATTAATTATGTAAATATTCTCTAAAGATAAAAGTATTTTTTAATAATAAGTAGAAGTCCATAGACAATTTAATCGAGAGGAAAAAAACGAATGAAAATTTTTTAAAAGTATAGATTTTTCTTCGAAAATTATTAATTCAAATGAATAAAATAATATAAGCTTTTTATTTGAATAGTCTTTTCAATAAAATATTATCTCTCAAACTTGAACAACTATATTAATGATATTCGAAGTGAAAAGATTTTCCATATTAAGACGTTTCCTCGAGATGTTTCAAATCAAACTCAATTGATTCTTTCACAATAATTAAATTCTTTTTTTTGCTTACTTGAACAATGAATACTTAAGAGATTCTTTTTTTAAATTTCATTCGATTCTACATAAAAAACTATGATTATGAATATTTTTTTAGACCTGAATACTTTATACTGACGGAGTTATAGGCATTGTAGGAAAAGCATTCCTAAAAAAAAACAAATTTCCAGTAATTTTGACTTTTTGAAGCCAAATTAAATCGAACAATGTCGGAGAACGTCTCAAATGAAAGAGTATAAAAAACCGCATCGATTGATATATTTGGCATTTCTCAACTATTTAGTTTTTCTAAAAAACTTTTTTTGCTTTTCGAAAAAAAAGACTGGTTTTGTTTTTAAGAAATTTTTATTTCCTTTCTTTTAAACCTCCTTATAAGTTAACAAAAAATTTGACTACTGGCTCTTGTAGAGCATGTGATTCTGCACAAAATGAGCTAACATCTCAACGTTTGAAATGGGGAACATCAGTTCGAAATTTTAGATAACAAAATTAACGTGTAGCGATATTTAAGAACAAATGGCATTAACATCACTCTTTTCCCTTGAATATTTTTTTTGAAAAAAATTTCACAGTCAGAATCAGCATTCAATTCTGAGTAAAATTAGGTATTTGTTCTTGTCCAAAAGCGACTTTCATTTGTCGCGGATCATTTGAGAGCTGCAGGAGACTCTAGGGATTATCGAAAAAAGTCCTTTTTTTTCAGATTCTAATAAAATGGCATTAGTCGATGCAGAATTTCATTCTTATTCAATAGATCATATGGGTTTTATACAAAAGCGAATTTTTATTGGTTATATTCTAAAAATATCAGCAAATTTTTTGATTTTTCTGCCCTACTCGGCGCATTTTGACTATTTGCCGTCCTAACATTTTTTTATGATTTTTAAAGTTATTTTCAGAATCAAAGTCAAAAACTGCATCGAACTATGTGTCCTCTTCATTAGATAAAAATTTTGTTATCGTCATCCATGAGGTTGCAGGAGCGAAATCCCGGCTTGTTGTCGCCTGTTTTAGCATTTTACTCTGAAAAAATTCACAGGTGTGCTATAAACGACTTTTTAAATGTAAATCCAAGTAAGAAAGCATCTTTCTACATCATCGCATGTAACTTTCGACTTTCTAATGATGGTACCATCATGCATGAGAACGATAGCTGAGAATGGACCTTTATCAGCAGTCTACAAAAAGTTAGGCTTTTATCTACGCATATTTCGTCTTTTTACAGGTTTCAACCATAAATCCAGAATCCACATGTAATTCCGCATCGACTAATGCCAAGTTTATTAGAATTTGAAAAAAACTTTTTTCGATAATCCCTGGGGTCCCCTACGGGTTTCAAATGACCAGCGAAAAATGAAAATTGCTTTTGGACAACAACAAATACCTCATTTTACTCAGAATTTAATGCTGATTCCGAATATGCAATTTTTTCAAAAAATATTCTAGGGGAAAGAGTGATGTTAGTGCCGTTTGTTCTTGAATATCGCTACATGCTAACTTTGTTACCTAAAATTTCGAACTGATGTTTCCCATTTGAATAATCGAAAACTATATCATTTTGTAGAGAATTAAATTCTCTACCAGGGCATGTAATCAAATTTTCTGATAATTTAAAAGCGGCTGTAGAAAGGTAAAAATAATAAAAATTTTTATATGGAAATTTTTTTCCGAAAAAAGGGTCGATTTCAGAGATGCTCATATCAGGGTTCGATGCCATTTTTCTTGCTCTTTTCGAGCGAGATGTTGTTCGAAATCACACGATTTAAAGTAGCTTTAAAGAATCAAAATTAGTAAAAGTCATGAAAAATATTTTTGTTTTTTTGCACTTTGAACGGTGGCCTTTTTAAAACCCTTCTAACTCGGTGAATATTAAGTTTCAAGCTCTCACAGTTTTTCACGTAGAATCGAATGGTGGAAAAAAAATAATAGCCTAGGAAAAATCATGTTGTGACTTCTATGGCGGGTGGTCGGTTTTCCCATAAAGTATTCAACTGTTGATATTTTTCATTGAAGATTTTCAACATAATGAATATCTATCAAATATTAATCAAAAGCAAAAATAAAAACCAGTAGATGAGCTAAATGGAATAGATTGAATGAGATGATTAAATCAATATTCCAAGCAATCGATGGGCCATTCATGCTGCTCTATTTACTTTCGAACATTTTAGAATATATCTTATATCCTCATTTCTATTTTTCACTCAACTGTGTACAAGATGATTCTACTATATAGAACTGATTTATAAAAGTTCTATATCAGTTCCAATCTTGAACACAACCACTAAACCTCTTCAATAGGAATGTCTAGAGACCCCGGATGAACGAAGAAAAGATGTAAGTTCTCGTACATTCCTGTTCTTCTCTAATAAGTTGTTAAATTTTTAACTTCCGACATTGACAAAAGCGAATTTTTCACAAACTACTTATGTTATTCTTCTTATACTTAACTCACCGCGATAAAACGAAGAAAATGTTATATACAAATAAAATTTGATTTCGAAATGCCTTTGATTAAATTTTTATGTTCAATATGCAACACTATTTTCTTGTGTTGTCTAATGCTTCTTTTTTCTCTCGTTGGAAGAACACAAATATTTATATATCACTGCTTCTTTTCTTAAAACTTTTGCTTTTTTTCCCCTTTTCTTTTCAATACTTTTTCTTGCAACTCCAATCGAAAACACTTACACATCATCGTTGTCAATCTGTATGATAGAACATCAAAACTGTACCTATTTATCAAGCAATTAAATAAAATCATACTTAGTTTCGTTTTGTAGATTTCAAAGAGTTCATTCTTAAAAAACATCTAGTTTAAGAACAAATATCAGCCTATCAAAACAAAAGACTAAATCATGAAAAAGCAACAGAAAATAATTTTATTTTGTTTTATGATTAAAAATATCGTTAAGATATTAAGTTATAGAGATTGTTATTGGAAACTATTTTGTTTAAGGTTTTTTGATAATTATTGAAAAAGTCATGATCAGGTAGAGCCTTGCAAATTATTCGTAATCTGTCCGATCCTTTAAGAACAGAGTAGAACAGCTTGCAGGATGCTACTATCGTTATCTGTTAATCTGTAATTAATTTTACTCATTTAATATTTTCCCTAAAAATGTATATTAAGAAAAATAGATTTAATAAAGTTAATCTACTCATCAATGAGAAAAAGTTATTGATGATCACTTGCAGCTAATTCCATTCATTTGAGATTTTTCTATTAAAATTTTTGAGAAATTTTGATGTATTTTTATTTGTTTTATGCTTGAAAGTATTTCAAATTAAATTGATTTTTAAAACTGATGATAAGTGAGCCATGTTTCTTTGCTTAAATTGAAAACTTAGGGCAGGACAGCTTACAGAAGGTTCGTAACTTGCAATTCTCTACACCCACATCCACTCTTATAAACTTTAGATTTTTCTTATATATAGTCAACAAAGTTCGTTTGCCAATAGTATCTATATGACTTTTACATAGTGATGAAAGTTTAATTAATGGCAGGTGATTCCTGTATAGTATACTTGTTGTAAGATGACCTAATTCAATTAAGCCATGTGTAAAGAATTTATGTACTGATTAACTCGAGAGTAATGAATGATCCATACGAGAAGCTCAATTTGTAAAAAGAAAAGAATTTTCTAATCATTATCCTGGTTTGATCAAAATACCTCCTATCAAATCGAGTAAATAATATTTTTGCTAAACTAACTGAAAAAGAATCTTTATTTAACTTAATAATTCTGTATTGACAAAACTTTTTCAAGAAATTTTAATAGAATACAATCAATAGTTAGAATAAAAGATAATCAAAAATATTTTCTAATGAATGAGATGATTATTATAGCATCACATTAATTAATTGAAGATATTTCTAACTTTCAATCTATTTCTTGTTGATTTATTTTATTCAGATTGAGAAAAACTATTTATTAAATACATGAACTACGATGGAAATAATTTTCTTAAAATAATTTATGCTGATTATAGAAAGAGTAGTTAGATGTTCGACAGAATTCTAGATGTTTATGAGAGAAATATCCCAACTGATAAATGACTTGCAAACTTGGTACTATTTAAATTATGTAGATCAAAACTAGTATTGAACATCATTATAAGAGTTTACATTCTTCGAACTTACTCCTAATGAAATATTGCCAATTTATAAGTTTTCTAATCTTCCTCTGAAAAACAGTAGAATAATTAATTTTAAAACGTTTGACTTGAAATTTCAATAAAGATATTGTGAAACACGATCTGAAAGGAGTGTTGAAGTGTTTATGGGTAGAAATTTTGCCGCCCCCCCCCCCCCCCCCCCCCCCCCACCCAGCGCCAGCAGCAGCACCCCCNGATGGTCGCACACTCAGTGATTATAACATCCAAAACAGAAGAACTCTTCAATTACTTCTTCGATTACGTGGTGGTATGCAAATTTTTGTCAAAACTCTCACTGGTAAAACAGTAACACTAGAAGTCGAACCAAGTGACACAATCGAGAATGTTAAAGCCAAAATCCAAGAGAAAGAAGGTATTCCACTTGATCAACAACGTCTTATCTTTGCTGGTAAACAACTCGAAGTTGGTCGTACGTTGAGTGATTATAATTTTCAAAAGGAAAGTACACTTCACCTTGTACTTCGACTTCGAGGTGGTGATCAATAAAAGAGTTTTTAGAGTATCCAGGTCATCAGATTGTTTTGGATCTTTTTCTCTTTTTTTGTTATATTTCTAATTCGTTGTTTAACTTTGAATATTCCTTCAGTACATTAAAGTAATTTTTTTGTCTCAGTAATAAATGCACTAAATGGATATATATGTAAATCTTGACTTTATTTGGGAATTAAAGAACCAAAATCTTGTCCTAAGAACATGACAAGTATTAAGTTGTTTGAGAACAAAAAAAATATTCTATCAGTTTCATTCTTATGAATTGCAGAGTATCATATTTGAACTTTCAAAAAGAAAAATTATGAAAAATGTGAACACAGCAAAAACAATCTATAGAAAGAAAAACTAAATTAATCAATAATTTAGAAACTTCCTCAAACACTAATTAGAAATTTCTGGATAAAGTTATGAGATTGTTCAGTGATTGTCGAGCCAATCGAATTTACTTTCATATGAAAAAGAAGATCTTACTCAAATTTAATCAATGAGAGCACACTACTGTATCCCAGTCCCAGTCTACAGTGGCATATCCAGGATTTTTAGATCAATGGGCAAACTTCTCTAGTATCGGAAAAATGCTGGGCAAAATGGGCGAGGCTTTTATTGATAGTCCAGACATTTTCTTGACCCAGAAAGTACTAATAACGTAAAAAAAGCACAAAAAATGACGTTCTTTTAACCAATTACGCATCAAACTCGAAGTTCAAGCCTAAGTCAGATGTGTTTTGGATATTTGTAAGAGAGATTCGCGAGAGGAGGCCCCTACTCAATGCGAAAGTCGCCGGTGAAAAAAAAATTTCGATTTTTTAAAATCTCAAATGAAAGGTCTAGGAAAATCATAATCAAATCCAAAATATTAAGTCATTTAGCTTTATCTATGGAAAAACACGAGCTGAAACAAGTTTAAGAGGATCATTTTTGACCTCAAAAACTGCTATTCTGAGGGTATGTTCAGTATTTTGACATTAGCTCACGAACGACTCGACCGTTTGAGCTCAGAAACATCTAATTTTATAGAGAACAGTTTAGGCTGCAACTTTATCCGATTCAAGTCCTAGATATATAAGCTAATAAAAGCGCCATCGATCAAAACCTGAGAAATGGCTTGTTTCGGGAGGTCGATATTTTGGAGTTTCTTACCGTGCTATACAAGGTACTAGAGTTCTTTTTTCACCAGACAAAGATTTTACCAAGGTACATCTTTTGACACTAAATTGTCAAGGTCAAAAGGCCAGATGGGAGACCAAGTTGGCATAGACCACACTGTGAGTTACCCTATCTACTGACCATCGGACATACCTCCTACAAATTTCTCTAGAAATCATGAAAACTGACTTCAGATTCATGTTCAACTCGCAAAATTGGGTCATATAGGCTATTTTGAAATGATCTCTTACTTCTATCAAGCGGGATCGAGACCATGGGTCCCTTTATGGGCATATGATACACCTTCGGACAGAAGTCTTTCCCACTCTGTGTTGTTATACTATCATACTTTGGATGAAATTTATTGCCAAGTAAAGATATAACATGAGAGTTTTATTGCAATATAGTGTACAGATCTTGCTGCAATAAAACTCTCATGTTATATCTTTACTTGGCAATAAATTTCATCCAAAGTATGGTTGTATAACAATAGAGAGAGAAGACTTTTGTTCAAAGGTGTATATCGATTCCTACTAAAGTATTTCAAAAGACATGAGGTATTAATAACAAAATTTTATTACTATGTAGTTTATTTGCAACTATACCCGACGTAAGATGTTCTATATTTTCAATTCTTTATTATTTGAACCTTGTCTATAAAGAAGCTATTGATGGCTTTCACCACCTTTGTTAAAATTCCAAAGACGCTTATATTCTTTCTACTTACAATTGGCTGAATATTTCGCTTATCAGCATACAACATTTTACGTTGGATACAGTTGCAAATTAACTATATAATAATAAAACTTTGTTATTGATGCCTCATATTGTTTGAAATACTTTAATAGAACTCGATGTAATTGTAAAAAAATCTGATACAGAGTTCTTCTAACAAACTGGATATAAAAAACAATCGATAATTTTCTTTCTTATTAGAATATGTAGCTCAAACAATAACCACTCATTAGCATTATCTGGATACTATAATTGGTAAAAAAATCCACATTTTTCTAATAACTGATAGAAGCCATATGAGCAAAAATATCTCGAAGTATCAAGCCGACTGGCCGTACCCACACACTTGGATGTGTTCCTCTGCTCTGTGCTCTTGTTTCTCTTCTCTTTGATCCATCCTTTTCTACCTTTACTTGTTTAGTATTTTCCCAATAAAATCGAACGCATTTTCATCCATACTTATAGTTAAAATACAAGGAGCGATTCTTTTCTTCCTTTCTTAATTCTTTACGAAAAGAAGAAGCATAGAATGCATGTGATTCATACGGAAAAAAATATAATTACTATTTAATTCAAAAAACAAATAAACAATTCTGAAAAAGTAAAATTTCAATGGGCAAAAGCTTACTCACAAAAATTACGATGGGCAAACCTCCAAATGAAATGGGCAATTGCCCATTTGCCTCCCCTTGGATACGCCACTGCCAGTCTATATAGTTTTGGAACATTTTAAACAGTTATCAAGATTAGAAATATTTAAGAGGATAAATACTTGTTCT